GAGGGCCCAGAACTGCCCCAGCACTGGAGGTGCCTCAGCAGTGCCAGCACAGGGAGGGCACTGCCCTGGCCCTGCTGCCACAGCACGGCTGGGACAGCCCCAGGGCCACTGGCCTGGTACTGGTCCCATGCTTTGCTTTGTGCAGCTGCATGATCTGGAGTCCTTGTCTCTTCTCACCTGGTGCAGCTGAGAGATGCTGTAACTGCAGGCTCTGCAAGCAGTGCCCTCATCCCAGCACAGGAGCTGCTCGAGCAGCATCAGTGATGCACCATATCCCAGGGCAGACTGGGGATTCTTCCAGGATGGGAATTTTGACACCTGGAGGGTTCCATGACGTAGTCAGCACCATTTCATTTCACTCATGGGTCAGGGTGCAGTCTAACAAACAGTCCCTGGGCTGCTGGGGATCAGTGGCTACAAAGCAGATGTGCATGCATCACCTTTGGATGAGGCACTCATCCGAAAGGCTTCACAGTATTTGGTACTACAGTATTTGGTAGTGTTGTGAGTCTTTCTGGATAGTGACATCAGAAATGGTATCAGCTGTTGCTCCCACATACTTATATCACCTGTTTAAAAAGCCTGGAATACTTTTGCTGACTGATTTTTTCATAGCTGTGTATGGCCCAAATTCTTGCATTTGAAGTTTAGTAGAATTGAAGTCTTAAGAAATTTCCAACCTTAAAGTAAGAAAATTCTCATTCATTTCAGTTCCTGTCTGGTCTTTAATTTATGGTAAACCTTTAAAATAGTGATGTTCCTGCTGCTGCATTAGCAAGAAAGCAATACAGTTGCTTTCCCTCCATTATGTTATATGTTTTGCATTGTGCTTCATTGTGGTATATTCCTAGTTGCTGTGGTAATTGACACTGTATAAATCAATAAAAATAAAGAGCATGTAGTATCTATTTCATAACACAATCTAATTTAATTTGGAAACAGTTATGGAAGCCTCTACTTAATATCAGAAATCTGATTCATCTTAATTCGCTGTTAATAGAAAGTGCAATCTACTCTATATAAATAATTTTTTCTAATCGTATTAAATCAACTTTTCCCCTTGGATACAAGCACATAATCCTTCTTCAGTCTACAGGGGCTGTTTTTATTGGAGAGCAGAATTTGTCTTTAGTATCTGTATTGAGGATAAGATACTTTTTGCAGAACAATTAGCCTCTGGAATGGAAAGCCACAAAATATTTCTAAGGCAAATGGAAAGATTCATAGAAGATTTGGAAAGTTTGATGAATTAAATGAAATTAATTTAGTGAGTGCTTCAGGGCATACACTAATTACCGACTATCTTTTGATAGAAGCTTAGGGGAAAATTTTCCTCCTGTTACAGAGTTTCTCAAAGCTTTTCTTGCAGCTTATAAAATCTTGCATAGTGTGGGGTAAATAGCAATTTTTCAGTGTTACTTATAACATGAGTAATAATATAAGTAATTGGTGCAGCCATAAAGTATCTGAGCATCAAGTTTAAAAAAACAAAAGTATTTTCACATTGCAGAGTGGCTGCTATTGTAAAAAGAGGGAAGAGAAATTTGCTGAAGAAAGAATGTCAAAAGGTGTTTGAACTCAAAGACTAGGATGGAATTTGAATTATTTAAGTCCTGTTGAAGTACACTTGTAGATATAAATTTGAACCAACATGTCAATACCATTGCTTATACTTCTGTTTTTTAAACATCCCATAAGTGCCAGCAACAGAGGCAAAATATTAGCGTTGATGACCTTTCATATCATGATAGATCTTCATATGTTGGCTGATTACTGAGCCAAACTAACAGAAAACATATCTGAGACTGTATACATTTGGCAGGAATACATCAGGGAAACTGGGGGTTGGAGGGGAAGCTTGAGGGAAATGATTGCTGTGTATGCTTTCCTCTTGGGATGTCCCTGGCACATAGGGTTAAATAATACAGCTTGTATCACTTAACAGCACTTTTATTTTATCACCGAGTCGATCCTTTTACTTTGCCAGAGGTCATTATCCCAGTGCAGAAGGAGTTTTACTAACAAGATGTGATGTGTGTTGCAGGACATTTATCTCCATAAGCCCAACGTGAAGTGGGATGATATTATAGGACTGGATGCAGCTAAAAGGCTGGTCAAGGAAGCAGTTGTTTATCCCATAAAGGTAAAGTTCTAAATAGTTTTGGGAAAACCAGTGTTGGGCTCCTTAACATTTTCCTTGCAATTACAGTGTTGTTTTAGAGTTCTTACTATTTCTGTGCTTTTGTAAGCAGTTCATGTTAGAACTACTCCTGTTCCTGTTTCATGTCAGAACTATTCCTGTTCTCGTTCCATCTGAAATTGCATTTCCTATAGAAAAATGACCTTTCAGGATTAAAATTAACACATTAAAATATGTCAAGTTGAATTTTTGGAAGCTTTGACAATGTAAGAAGTGCTGGATTTGGCCTGTATTAATTCCATGAAAAATGACTTACAGAAGAGAATATGAAATCAGTTGCATTTGAAAAAATCACTTAAAACAGATTTCAAATGGTAAATACAGTATTTTTATCAGTATTCAGATCATACATACTACATTGTTTTGGTGTGTTTTTATTCCCCTCTTCGAATTTCATATGTTTCCTGAATGTGTTAGGAGCAGTGAAGGTGGGGACTAGAATTCCTTGCTATTTGTTACAGAGGACACATTTTTAATCCCTGAATTACTTTTCTGTTTCCAGTACCCAGAGCTATTTACTGGCATTCTGTCCCCTTGGAAAGGATTATTGCTCTATGGACCACCAGGTATGGAGAGCTTTATACCATATCTCTGTGTTCATCATTGTTTCTGGTTTTGTCCCATGGATAAATCATTGATGCTAATTAGATTAAAGATGTTAGAAAAGAACCTGCTCTGTGATGTGAATTAAAAGGAGAGAGTGTTGGATGATTATGTCCACCACTGACACTCAAACCTGGCCTTTCTCGTGAGCCTTGACTATTTTTACACCTGAATATTCCAGAAACAGTGTTTATACTAACAATTCAGAGGCCTCATACCCCTGTTTTTACTGAGCTTGGACCATATTAATCAAGTTTGGCATGACCTGATCCTATGATATGTGAATAAATCTGTCATGGACTCATATCCTTAGTGAAAATGTCCTTCCTTTCTTCTGCTTTTGGGGGTTGTTTTGGGAATGGGTGGAAACTTTGCCCTCTCCTGGGCCAATTGTGTGTTGTTCTGAGTGTGTCAGCACAGCTTCCCTGCTCCCTCTGCTCCACTTTGACACAAGCACCACCACCATGAGTGTGGCTGGAAGGGGACACAGGGCACAGGCACCACTTGAGTCAGGATGCAGAGGCTGCCACTGCAGTGAACTCCATTTGTTCCTGTGAATGTTTAAATGTACTTGCCACAGAAGGCACCTGACCATTTCAACATGCACTGCTTCAGACTTTGGGAAGTGCATTTGCAGTGCTGTATTGCCTGAGTTTCCCCAGACAATCTGGAAGGACCACAACGTGCTCTGAGGGCTGGAGCCCCTCTGCTCTGGAGCCAGGCTGAGAGAGCTGAGGGGGTTCACCTGGAGAAGAGAAGGCTCCAGGGAGATCTGAGAGCCCCTTCCAGTGCCTAAAGGGTCTCCAGGAGAGCTGGAGAGGGACTGGGGACCAGGGATGGAGGGACAGGATGAAGGAGAATGACTCCCACTGCCAGAGGGCAGGGTTAGATGGGATATTGGGAAAAAATTCTTGTCTGTCAGGGTGGTGAGGCCCTGGCACAGGTTGCCCAGAGAAGCTGTGGCTGCTCCATCCCTGGAAGTGTCCAAGGCCAGGTTGGACGGGGCTTGGAGCAACCTGGGACACTGGAAGGTGTCCCTGTCCATGGCAGTGGAGTGGAATGAGATGAGCTTTAAGATCCCTTCCAACCCCAACTATACTATGACTTTTTTACTGATTTTACCTGACTGGTAGTATGATGAGGGGAATTACTGAAATGTTTGCACTTACTTTCTTTAGAGAGTGGATTTCTCAAACGCTGTTGTTTGTAGGTACTGGAAAAACTTTGCTTGCTAAGGCTGTTGCCACAGAATGCAATACAACCTTTTTTAACATATCAGCATCCACCATTGTCAGCAAATGGAGAGGTGATTCAGAAAAACTTGTCCGGGTAAGAATTATTCTCTCATTCATTATAATTTACAAACATCAGGTTCCCTCTTAAAGAACTGGGGTTTAACACAGAACTGGAAAGCAAATGTTCCTCTAGTGCTCATAGCCTTCCCTGACTTAGACAAAACATGACTTTGTTCATACGTAGTTCTCAGAATGGGAATAACATCACTTCTGCACAAGTCTCATAATGGATTCTTGCTGTTGAACTTTGTGATATAAGATGAAGCAGATGTTCTGAAGGCAGCAAAGATCTTTGACTCAATGAAGAACAGACAGACAAGCAGAGTTCCTAACTGAAGCAGTGTTTGCTTAGTGACCCCTTCAGAGCATTTCACATCCTTTTTGCAAGTGTTGTCTCCTAGGCTTCCTACAAAATGTTACCAAATTCCCTGTTATTCTTAGTCTTCATGGCACAAAATTGACAATTCCCTTGTCACAAAGGTCTTACAGTCAAATGCACATGTAATGTTTTAAGGAAGGTAGTTTAATGGTAAATAGGTAAATGTATTTTCTAATATGGACTAGTAAGAAGTGTTCATGGCTCAGCTGTGGTCCAGAAAAATTCAGGAGTTCAGGTGTAGCATCCTTGCCCTATGATACCCATCGGAATCTCTCCATAATATCCACCATATAAGAAATCCACAAGGCCTTAAGCCCTTCCTTTATGCTCATCTGTGATTCTGTGTTCTCTAAGGCTACACTTTGGATAGATGCAAAGCTCTTGGGAATGAATAACCATAACAAATTGTACTCTGCAAGTGGCATTCTGGGCATTGTTAATCTTTCTTGAAATGTTGGCAATGTCTGCAGCACAATTATTCTTCTTGCCTTCTTGTGCCTTTAAAACAGCACATTTTTCTTCTGACAGTCCCCTCCTGTTACTGATCCTCTTGACACCTGTCTCAGTAGCTTCCTGGACTTTTCCTTTCTGGCAACAGTAGGGATGGGACAGTCTGGTTTTTGACACCATTATCCAAAAGGTTCTTGTGAACATGCTGCAGCACGTGCATGTATATTGAATTTGTGACATTTTACCCTTAGCTGAGTTTTCGGCAGAATCAAAAAATGAAATAAGATTGTGGACCGGGAGAGCTCTAAGAAAAGTTTTGTGTGAATTTATATCCCAAGATCACACGAGGCTGGTGCAGGAGTTTTCCGAAGTTGTGGAGAGGATACATGGTTTTTGTGGTCATTTGGAGGCATGTCCACTCATTCTGTTTTCCTCAGTTCTACACAGTATTTCTGTGATTCTGTATTTTAGATTTCTAGTAAAATGTATTTCTGTGATTTTGTATTTTAGATTTCTAGTAAAATTTGTAATGGTCTACTTGTGACTCTAGGAAAATACTTTAAACCCTGTGTTTTTTATTCAAAGTGATGAATATAATAAATATCTTTTTAAATTTGCTTTTTTTAAGTGTTCAGGTTAAAAAGTGCTGGATTAATATATAGTGCTAGTGATGCTTATTTAAAAACTCAAAGAACACTTTAGTCTAGAAGAACTGGCATTATGGTCTTAGCACTAATACAGGCCTCTCCATGTTTATGGAAAAATACATGAAACTTCTTTCTCCAAAGGGCAGATCCACATTTTTTGTGTCATCTTAATAGTCCATTTTTTAATCTTGATTGGTTAAGCAATTTGTGCTTGTTTTCACCAGAAAAAAAACCAAAATAACTGTTTGATTCTTATCAAGAGAATCAGTCCTATTTCTTTCATTATGGTTCAGCCAACTTGTAGGGTTTTTTTCTCAAATCCTTATTTAAAAAAAAACCTCAAATGGAGCAACAACAAAAGGCACATGTTTAATCTCTGATAACAATTTAGGAGTTCCCAGAATCCTCTGATGGATCATTTTCTTCTATCCCATTATTCTCAGGGTACTCTGATAGGATTTAACCAGAAAGATTTACACATAAAGACAGGATTACAAGGCTGTGTTCTTTATATCTCCTTTACAAACCTCTCAGAATTTGAGAGGATTCAGGGACCCTCAGCCTACCCAGAGGTTTTTCCCAGCAGACATCCCTTGGAATGTGGGTGCTGTTATTTATCTTCCATGCCAGTGGTCCTTGATGCCTTTTTGTGTCAGTTTATCCTTCACATTTACTCTTCTCTCTGAACAGGTGTTGTTTGAGCTCGCCCGGTACCACGCTCCTTCCACAATTTTCTTGGATGAGCTGGAGTCAGTGATGAGTCAAAGAGGCACTGCTCCTGGGTAACTGATGGGACCACTTTGGGGGATTTGAAGAGTGGGGTGTAGGGTTGTTTCAGTTGCAGAGGAGAAGCAAGAGTGAAAGGCAGGTTGCGTGAGGATGAGCGAGAGGCTACGGGGGCAGCAGGAGTCTGAGAAGGAGGGTGGTGCCAGAGTGTATAACCAGTGGTGCTGTATTTTAAAATCAGGGATTTGGAGTGGAAATAAAGGCAGTGGTGGGGGAAACAACAGATGAATTGTCAGATGATTTTTTGACACTTTGGACAATCTTAGGCATAGCAGAGTAATATGGAGAGTGTACACACTGGAATGGCATTTTCATTAATGGGACAGATTTAGGTGGCATTATCAGGACTTCCAGTTGCAGGAATGGTTGAATATTATTATTTTCACCCAAGGTATAGACAGTTTATGTTTAAAAAAATGATTGAAAAGGTTAGGGATGAGAAAGGAGCAAGAGAAATGTAAAAGTATTGTTATAACCATTAGTAACTCATTACAGTGGATTTTATGTACAGTGAATTACGTGGTCACTTTGTATTATGGTTTTTGTTTACCATTTATAAATAGAATATGCCCTATTTTAATGATACTACTTGTAATCATTCTCAGTTAATAGATACTAATTATGACCCAAATTTTGCCTTCCTTGATGCATTTTTACATATCCTTATTAAATACTGACTTGGCACTGATGTGTGGATGTCTTTGCAGAAATAAGCCATTAAACCTGAAGTGCAGCTCTTGCCATCTAAGACTCTGATGTTTTCCCTGGGCTCAATCCAGGAGTTTCCAAGAGTTACACATCTGGAACCAAGAGTTCCAGCTGGTCTTCTACAAAATTGATTACCTGAATCAGGGCCAGAACTCTTAGGACTTTGCTTAAGTTCTCCTTTTTTTTTTTGAGGAAGGATCCTTTCTGTGTGGTCTCTGCCCCATTTTTAAATTCATGTCATTGAGGTGTATTTTTCTGTTTGATTTTGATAGAACATTTTGCAACATGCTGAACTCAGTAGTTTAGTGTGTCTTTTTGTGGCCACTTAATATTCACTCACAGAAAAATACCACCCTGAATAGGTAGGTGTGTTAGTTATTTAAATGGCAACTATCACATTGTAAAAATTCCCTTCTATAGATCAGTTAATCAATCAATCAAAGCCTTAGCTGTTATCCAGTAAAAGTCAGCGTTGAGTGGAGATTTAATATGAAGGAAAAAAATAAAAATAAATATTTTCTTTGGATTCAGTAATAGTGAATTCACCTCACTTTAATGCACTGGAAAGAGTCCATTTAAGTAATCGTTAGAAAGCTTGATTTTAATGCTTAGATGTTAGCTAATGGAGCTTAATCATGCTTTGAACTGGGGCAAAACTGTGACAGGGGCTCAGTTGCTGTGAATGACACTTATAAATAAAGATGATTACTTTAATGCACTGAGCAAATAATATTTCTCTGAATCTTGGTAGTGGTGAACATGAAGGAAGTCGGCGGATGAAAACAGAATTACTGGTGCAGATGGATGGCTTGGCCCGATCTGATGATCTTGTATTTGTTTTAGCAGCTTCCAATCTGCCATGGTAAGAGATCCAGAGAGTACATTTTGAATACATTTTCATGAGCTTCTAAGCACAGATAAAGATTTTATTTAGACTTCTGCAGGAAAAGCCTTGATATTTGGTTAAAGCATTTAAAGATTAATTTGGAGCTTTTACTTTTAAACTCTTCAATTCTTGCTATTTGTGTCACATGAGAATAATCCATAATAAAGTCAACATATGCTGGTCCTACAGCTGCTAATATTTAAAATGGAGTATTTGAATTTATAGGCAAGTTATTTACTATGTTTAAGCTAAGAAGGGTTTCAGCCTGGAACTCTAAGGTGCTTAAAACATCTGGTGCTTAGAAGGATACTCCATAAATAGGAATGTTGGATTTTATTGGTATGAAATGGGACTTTGAAAAGTTGAGGGGCACAATTCCTCAGTTTTCTTAACATAATTTAGTATAGAAGAATAGACAATTTAAGACTGGAACTAGGGCATTTCATCACGTTGGTTCTCAAACTGGACAGGATATTTGTTGGGAACAAGGCAGGCAGGAGAGGGTGAGGGAGGGAGGTAAGATTTTTGGTGTAACAGCTCTGGATGCTCGGGAGAGGCCAACATGGCCAATGTTTTTGCAGCTGCTGATCCTCACAGCACTGAGGTGTTTCTGGGTGCCCATGTCCCTAAAGGCACACCAGCCTAAATGGGCCTATTCCCACCTCCAATGCAGAGGAGCAGGAGCTAGGAGTCATAAAAGGGGAAGATAGCAGTCCTGTTTCCAGGGAACTTCAAACCATAGTCTGGGAAATGTTTGGTGTAGCCCAGTGGAAGATGTTCCCAGGAATGAACACCTGGGGATGAATCCCTGTGTGAACAGTGGATCAGCAGCATTTCAAGTGGCAATACTTGAAATTTGACATTAAAGGCACTTTGTTCGTTGAGGTGCCACTTACCCAGCTCTGCCGTGTGACAGCCACAGAGCAGGGCACCCAAAACCAGCTGGGAGCCAGAGGGGGCACTGCACCCACAAAGCACAGGCTTCATTCATAGATTGTTTTTCATGATTAGTGATTTTTGTCTCATTTTTATGGGGTTGCCATAAGGAGAAATGCTGAAAAAGCCTCTCTTTGTGACTTGAGGGCTCTGGGCTGTGATCAGAGCTGGGTGTGTCTGAGTCTGAGTGACAAAGTGTGTATCCCCATCTTGCTTTTGAGTACTTCAACTCCCAGTGCATTTTATTGTTGTTTTCTTTTTTTTTGTTTTTTTTAATTTTATTTTATGTTGTTTAACACATAGTTGCACCTCTCAGTCATGGCACACCACCTGACGTTCTCTCACAATGTCTGTGGTAATGTTTTATTCCTCTCCTCAGCTGATTCCCTTTTTGATTTCCCTGGCTGAAAGGGAACAGGAGAAGAGAGTTAAACCACAGAAGTGATGTTGGTGCCTGAGAATTGAGGCTCAGAGGTAGTTGTTGCTGAGAAGCCTCAGCCCTTCAGAGAAGCAGGAGGCTGTGGATCCCAATTCAAGTGCCAAAATGACAGCATATTCAGCAGCTTTCATCTGCCCCTCTGTCTGTGGTTTGCCCAGAGCATTTAAGTAAGAGAATGGCTGTGTGGACACCTAAAATTTGTGTAGAAATTAGATGTACAAGTTAGGCTGGTTCCTACCCAAGAGTGTAAGTACAGAGCCATCACAGGCTTTTATAGCCATAATAGCTGAGTCTGTGTGTTGGTTTGGGGGATTTATGCCTTGGACAAACTCATGAATTTAAATCAGTACAAAATCCACCCCATTTTGTGTTTCAGTATCTACGTGAAAGGAACGGAGTGGAATTCTAATTATGTTCCAGTTATATAGGAAAGTGCGGAAAAAGGAATAACTGGACAATTAAGTTTGAAAGAGAATTAAGGCATTAATAATCCATTCGTATCTTTATGGTTTGTTACTAATACACTGTAAATGTTTATGTTACCGCAGCATCATTGCCCTTTTAGAAGGAGAAACTGTGAGTAGTGCACTGCACCTTTCCATGGACTGAAATTAATCCTGTGAGATAATTATCCATGCGGAATTATTCCTGCATGTGTCTTGTTAACCTGTGTCTGCCTTACACAAGCAATAAACTCTTCCTGGGAAGTCATGTAAAAATTTCAGAATTCAGTTTTGAGTGTTTTACACATTTGATTTTGGATCATTTTATAACACTGGAGTGCTAATTTCTGCAAAATTGCTTCTTTGAAACAGCTAAAATGACACAGCTTTTTTTTTTTTTTAATGTCGATCCAAAATTACCGGACTTCTATTTTGGGGGAACTGTCCCAAAAGGAAGCAGGCAGTCTGTGTTGATATGAGGGTGGTAGCTGAGATGTTGTGATAAGCCAGCTCTCACTTCTGAAAGTTTTACCTGAGAGCTTAGAACTTCCTTTTGAACTTTTCTCTCTTTTGGGCAGGTTGGATTTTGCTCTTTCTTGAGCAAATCCAACTTATGAATGTACTGACGAGTTTTTCTGAAAGAAATGTCCCTACCACAGAGAAAATGCTTTAAGAAGTGGCTGAATGTGTGCTTAGAAAGGTGTTTTAGGGGGGTGGAAAGCTAGTGAAAATCATGAGCATCTTACACCATCACTTGAGGCTCACTAGCCTCAAGGAATTTGGGAGTATCTGCCTCCAGAGAGGGCAGCAGGGACTGAACCTCTCTTAAGATCTCAATTGTATATTTACAGATTGAATTTGTGAGTAATAGGTGACATTTAGTCACACTGTCAGACCCGGACTTCAGCTCCACAAGAACAGTTAATAACAAACTTTCAAAATACCTGGTGCCACCGTGGGAGGTTGTGGTTTCACAGCACAGCGGTGTGGCTCTTGCAAACATTTGGTGTTAAGCTGGATTTCAGGAGATTTGTTTAACTTGGATGTTTATTGATCATGGAAAAAACTGGTACCAAGCTGCTTTTAGATGAATGAAAAGAAGCCTAAACAAAGCTCTTTATGCTGTCCTAAGCTGCACTGCAGCTATTGATCTTCCTCTTTAGCCTGTCCTTGCTGCCCAGCAAGTAGCTTTCGGCTACTCATCAGCAAAGCATTTCTGTTGACAAATTACTTGCTGAAATGATTCAATGTAATTAAATAAAATAAAGGCCTCATTAGTGAAGGAATAAAATGATCCTTAATCACGTAGTGAATGTTTCCTAATGATTTAGCACATTTAATTCAACTTCCATTGCGGTGCTGCTTTCTCCTCCCTCCCCACCCTCAGGGTCAGTGAAGTTTTGGGGTGGGCTGATAGGCTCTTCCCTTCCAACACAAACCAGTCTGTGATCCTGTGATGCCTCCTAATGTTAACCTGGGGGAGTTCTGAAAAGTCACTACTCTTATGGGTCCTTTAGAACTTGGTGTATCTTTTCATGATCATCTCTCAGTACTTTCATTGGCTGTTGCTGCAGAGAATATTTTGGTTGGCTCAGTGCTTGTTATTCTACTCTGGTTAATGTCACTTAACCTTGCCTAAAAAAACAATTTAGCAAACGACCTAAACACTTAAGATAACAAAAATAATATTTCTTTATTTTGCTCTTTAGCCAACAAGCCAGGTCATTGTAACCTTTCTGGATAAATAGAATCACAGAATGGTATGGGTTGGAATGGACCTTAATGCTCATCTTGTTTCACCCCCCTGCCATGGGCAGGGACACCTTCCACTATCCCAGGTTGCTCCAAGCCCCATCCAACCTGGCCTTGAATATTCCAGAGATCCAGGGGCAGCCACAGCTTCTCAAAACAGAGCAACTTCATGTTTACAGAACATGGATAGAGAGCTCGTGAAACTGTGATCTTGGGGGGGACCTGAAGCAGGAGGAGTCATGGAAAACTTCACCATTTGGAGGATTTTCAGGATATTTGCAGAGACTGGCTGTGGTTGTCCTTTGCCTACACATGCTTTTTAGGGTACCTGTGTAGGCACCTCCAAAACCCTGAGAACTTTTGCCCTCTGTACACAGAGGATGTTAATATGGGTAAATAACAGCAAAGGGGTTGGTCAGCCAGAGCAATTATTTCCAGCTAAATAAACAAATTTCCAGCCAAGCAAAGCAATTTTGATAAGTTGGGCTGAAAAATACATTTGGAAGGTGAGCAGGTGAGTGTGGTTCTTTATCTTTTCTGGTTGGGCCTCTGTACTATTGCACTGGATGTTGGACAGCATCTGAAACAGCCTAAAAATATCAATAATAATATCAATATAGTGACAGCCACTGATGAACAAATTCTGGTATTTACTCCTGCAGCCTTGATTAGAAGTACTGAGGTGGATCTGAGCAAACTCCTGCTGTCCTCCAGGTTCCTGCTGATCTGGTTTTCTGATCTTTGTGTTCATTGCCCTTGGCTCAGTGCATGTGGAACGAGGTCTCCCAAACCAAGATGTCATTTCTGGGGAGGGGGGACATCACTGCTCCTGCTGAGATGAGAGCCAGCCCCTATGTGGAGTTTTGAGAGCCCCTTTTTGGGTTCCTTTATCATGTGCTATGCCACTAGAAAACATTAGCTCTTAGAAAAGAAGGACAAGTCACCAAATGTGACAGAAACAAGCTCTGTCAGTGTGCTACATATCCATCTTGAGCTGGCTTTGAGCTCCCTGTAAATTAAAGGGAGTTTCATACAAGAAACCCCATTCATTGCCTGAATGTTGACTTTCCTGGCAAAAATATTTCACCCAGGGAATCGGGAAAGGTAGAGGCATGTTTAATTTAAGTGTATCACAGTCCCAGGTTGCAGGTACAACCCTCCAACAGCTGGTTCCTTCTGCTCAGCCAGCATGGATGGAAATGGTTCTTGTGGCTCCTGTTCTTCTGTCTGCACAAGGCACGTTGAAGTGTTTCCCCTAGATGAAAGTTTCTTGGCAGGTATGAGGACGGAATTGTATTTTAAACTGGAATAATGAGTCTGTGACTGAATGGGGCCAGTAGAGAAAGATTGGTATAGAAGCTTTTTCTTATCTTTTTTTTTTTAGGCAAACCGTTTTTATCAGTTTTGATGTTCACAGAATCATGGTTTTTGGCTCACTGACACATTTATCCAGCCTGTCCACCCTTCACAAGATCCTTTTTATAAGGACAATATACTTTGTAACTGTATTATTTATAGTTTGTATTGCAGGAGCAGTCCCAGATCGGCATCTTGTTCTGCCGTAATGCATGGCCTCACATCCAAGACCTTCAGTCTGGATTTTATACCTACTGAGCATCCCTTACTAAGTAGCAATTAATTAGTCCTGACAGTGCCCCAGACAGACAATTTGTACTGTCTCCTTAATAGCAGAGGGAGAAAGGGAGAGGTTGTTACTGATGAGACATGCAGCAGATGAGCACCAGAGCCAGGGATGAAAACTGCAACTTCTCATTGCTATTGCTAATCCTCAGTGTCACAAGCCAGTGCATCACTGACATGCTGAACAGGAACACACTGGATAATTAACCCTTTTTTTTTCATTTTGGCACAGTTACAGGTGGGGTTGAAAAATGCCAGTCCCTGCAGCGAGGACCTTGCTGTCAAAGCCAGGTCTCCATGACAAGACACACTGAGATGATCCCTCTCCGCCTTTGCTTGCAGGGAGTTGGACTCTGCCATGCTGCGGAGGCTGGAGAAGAGGATTCTGGTGGACCTGCCCAGTAAAGAGGCACGGCAGGTGATGATCCAGCACTGGCTGCCCCCTCTGAGCAACAGTGGGGGTGTGAAGCTGAGAACGGATCTGGATTACAGCTTGCTGAGCCAGGTGGGCAGCACTGTGACAGGGACAGTGCCTACGTGGTGCTGGAGGCATTTCTGGGCCAGAACTGTGAACAAGGGTTGGGACAGCACTTTGGTGTGGCAGCTGTGACACACAGAGCTGGGGAAGGACCTCAGCTCAGTCTGAGGCTCCAAAGGGAGACTGGCAGCACACAGCACTGAGCATGTCACAGGCCTGTGGAAATCACTGGTTTCACACAGCTCTGCCTGCAAAATGGTGTATTCTGGTCCTCTCTGTTGGGCCAACTTTTCAGCCTTAAATACAGGGAGACTTCCAGCAACAGCACATTTTATCACTGTTCTCACCAGGCTGGGAGCACTTCCAATTCACCGGGGTAATGAACAGTTAATTGTGTAGGGAAGGTTTGTCACCGCTCCACTGCTGCGGGAGAAAAGAGCATTTGACAGTGAAAAGATTCACTAGATACCCAGGCTCTCTTCATTTAGCCCTTTGTCACATCCTGAATTCTTTGGAAATAGAATCACAGAATCCTGGAATGCTCTGGGTTGGAAGGGACCTTAAAGATCATCTAGTCCCAACTCCCTGCCATGGGCAGAGATGCCACTCACTAGACCAGTTTGCTCAAGGACTCAACGCCTAAATATTTTACAGTTTACCCAGTTGACTCATTTCACATGTGTTCATGGAGAAATACTGCTCAGTTTTGGGTTTATAAATCCTAATAAGGAAACACAGTCACTTTTTAACAGGAAAGACGGGGATGGACACACAAAGGTGGGTTTTATTTGACCTACAGAAAATTGGGGTTTAAAGAGAAAACGCACAGTATTTTTCCTTGCTCCTACAAGGTATTGTGGGCATTCAAAAGAAGAACGAGCAACATAACTTCAAGAGGAAATCATACACATAAAAATAGATATGTGTCTGTGTGTGTCTGTGGGTATACATATACAAACAGATATTTCAGACAGCAGTAGACTTTACAAATATTTTCTATAAATACATATACAATATATATGCCTGTAAATGGTATTCCTGTCTGATTTGTGAGCTGTAATGCATTGTTCTGATCCCATCACAGGAAACAGATGGATACTCCGGCTCAGACATAAAACTCGTGTGCAAGGAAGCCGCCATGAGACCAGTGAGGAAAATATTTGATGCTCTTGAAAATCATCAGCCAGGTACCTCAGCTCTGAGCAGAGAATATCAACTGGCAAATGCTGATCTCCTGCTGTAACTCTAGGAACGATCATGTTAACCCCAGCAGGTGGAGCTCTGATATCTGCCTGGAAAAGTTCTAAACTCTACAGATCTAAAACATCTAAATTTCTGAAAACCAGGCCTTCTTTTAAATGTCTTTTAAATCTGTGCTCTCTGCATAAATACAACTTTTTCTTTATCTCACTGCGTTTACTCTGTTGTTTCCCTATATTAAGTGTTGCATTAGGCAGGGACATAAAAGAATGTCTTTTGGTAATGATAACAGTATTTATTCACTTCTCTTCTCTTTAGGTAACAGTAAGCTGCCCGTGATCCAACTGGACACGATCACAACAGCTGATTTCCTGGATGTGATCACCCACACCAAGCCATCAGCAAAGAATCTAAGCCGGAAGTACATGGCTTGGCAGAGGGAATTTGAGTCAGTTTGACAGAAAACACACCCAAAACTTCCAAGACTTCCAAAGTGGCATGTCCTTGTTCCAAAGGATCAAATGGTGATGGGGAAGGAAATGCTGTTGTCTCAGGAAAGAGAAAGCAGTGACAAGTGTCAGAGGGAAATCTTTACTTCCAGAATTTAAGGGTGGGTGAAAGAGTGGTGGTTATTCTTTATTAACCATTTTAATGACCATTCAAAAAACATTCTTCATGGAATTAATGTGATGGCAGTTCCTATGCAACAAAGCCTCCAGCCTTAATTTTATGCATGAAGACTTAAAAGATTGATTGCTTCTCAGTCTTTATTCATGACAACTGCGTACAGGTTGGAGGTAGAACTGAAGCAGAAAGCTTAAGAACAGTTAGACAATTAGTGTAATTCTCCATTCCCAAGACTCACTAGAGCATCACAGTCAGTGTAGCTGTACCAGCAGAGACTTGCACCCTTCTTAATGAAACATGAAACAAGGGTTTTCAGTGAAACTCAGGACCTTAGCAAGGCTTTGTAGATGAGGTTAGTTTGTCATCGTTTTCAGCTGATGTGTCAAGTGTGTTACTTTCCTGTTGGTTTGGAGCATTTCCAAGGTGGAAAAGGCAAGGAATTAAGAGGGATACTGTAGAAAATCAGCAGGTTTAGGCTAATTAACTAGAAACTGTACTGGTGGTTACCCAGTGGTTCACAGCCAGCCATAAAACAGGATCACAGAATCCGAAATGGCTCAGGTTGGAAGGGACCACAGTGGGTCACCTGGTCCCACCTCCCTGTTCCAGCAGGGCCATCTCAGAGCACATGGCACAGGATTGTGTCCAGATGGTTCCAGGATATCCCGCCCTCTCTGGGCAACCTGTTCAGTGCTCAGTCACTGCACAGCAAAGTTCTTCCTCGTGTTCAGGTGGAACTTCCTGGGCATCAGATTGTGCCTGTTCCTCTCGTCCTATTGCTGGGCCACACAGAGCAGAGCCTGGTCCATCCTCTGACCCTGCAGACACTGACAGACATTAGTGAGGTTCCCTCTCAGTGTCTCTTCTTGAGGCTCAACAGCCCCAGCTCCCTCAGCCTTTCCTCCTCAGAGAGGTGCTCCACTCCCTTCATCACCTGTGTCACCCTCCACTGGACCCAGTGGAGTTTTCCAGTCTTTGCAGTGCAGTGTTTAATACCAGCCACTGTTCTTGCACACACAGCCAGGTGAGCAGTCAGCACTGCCACGTGTCCTGCACTCTGCACCAGCAATTCTGACAAGTCACTCTTTCAGGTCTCACCACTGCCCTTCTCTTACCTGTCTTCCTCACCAAGACACTTTTCCCTCTTTGCAGTTCTCCCAGTGTTTTCCTTGTTCTTGTGTGCATCTGCATTCCGAGTACCAGGGTTGTGCATGCTTTCCAGCACGTCCCAGGGCCCCTGAGGCACTGACAGTCCCTTTTAGTTCTAGCATCAGTCATATGTCAAAAGTCTCCATGGGAAATCTCTTCACAGGATTTTGCTTATAGCTCTCCCACCTCCTGAACCTGACTCTGACCCTGGGCCACAGACCTCCCTTATATCCTCCAAGCAGAAACAGGCTCAGAATTGCTGGCACAAAAACTAGATGTGTGAATTTATCCAAAACTGTACGTGACAGTATCTAAAGATGGCCTCTGTTCCTGAGGGGTCTCTGCTCCCAGGTAAAAAGTGACACCATGAGAGGAAACAGCCTCAAGTTGTGCCAGGGGAGGTTGAGGTTGAATATTTGGAATAATTTCTTCACTGAAAGGGCTGTCCAGCTCTGCAGAGGCTGCTCAGGGGAGTAGTGAAGTCCTCATCCCTGGAGAGATTTAAAAGCCATGTGGATGTGGCACTTGGGGACGTGGGTTAGTGGTGGCCTTGGCAGTGCTGGGGGAACGGTTGATGATCTTAAAAGGGCTTTTCAAACCTAAATGATTCTGGGTTTCTACTGCAAAATCTGCAAAATCCATCCACACGTTCTGTCTGTGACAGAGATTAGATCTGAATGTAGTAACCACCCACCAAGTGAGGCTGCAGAGAGATGCTGTCATATGTCAGGAAATTCATTCATCACGATGATTTTGTTTAACAAGAACGAGCATGGCTCATTAACACAAAACTGTATTTTCAATAAGGTTAATACTCCAGTAATGCATAATTACAATCTAATAATTTAACACTCAGGAGCACTGTAAAACAACTGTAAAGGACTTTGATTATTACAGTTTGCAAATGGACCAGAAAAGCCATTTACCATCATTACAAAGTTGGTTCATACTGGGGGATGTAGAGCATAGGAAAAGCATTGCATGATACAGAATTAAATTTCATTTTACAGCTCTGCTAACCAACTGTAAAAACTGGAATGTGTCCCCATGGCTCGTGAAGGATTTTCCCCATAACATTAAAAAGAAACAAAAAAATCCCCAACAACAGTGAAATTTTGCAACTGTAGCACTAATAGGACCCTGCTGAAGCCTAATTTTAAAAAGTCACAGTCTCTGAGGCATTTAATACCAGAGTTTTGTTTCTGTATCATTCTTTTTAATAACAGCATCTAATTAAAACATCTGTAAAATGCTGACAGTTTTTAATTTTATGTAAAATTTGAAAAACAAAGAACAGGATCTGCTGTAATGAGAGGAAAGACAGCCACAGTAGTTATTATTAAGCAATAGTGGTACTTTAATTTAAAAGTCACTTCTAAATGTGCATAATCTCTACCTTTAAGTAAGAGCTCAGTGAAATCACTGCAGGCCAACTAAGGCTCTGTTACTGTTGGTATTTTAGTGCATGTTTTCAGAATAAGTCTCACTTATTCTGCAGAAAGTGACACTTTCCAGACAGGGCTTTTCATCAGATATTTCCTGAAAACTGAAGGTGAGCAGAACTCTGCCGTGCTCCCTGTGTGTGGTGACTGTGCTGGGCCCACTCGGACCCTCACACCGCAGGCAGGTTTCTGATGCCACACATGCAATGACTGATCTTGGGACCTTAATTTTTGAAGCAAGAATGAAGGAAATTATGTGAACCAACTACTCCCTTTCTCACAGCATACTCTTTAGGATGTGTTCCACTGCCTCTGGGAAACTCTCACAGGTTAAGTAGGGAGCTGGATTGATTTTGTCTTCATCTGCTGGTCGATATTTACCTGTAACAGATTAACAAAATGATCCATTTACCAGGCTCCTCTGAGTATCCTTTTTTATTTTTTTTCCCCCTGAAAATTAGAGCCTCCTCAAATCAGTACCAACCAGGTAGGAGGAATGCCCATCTGAGGTTCTCCTGCAACAAACATCCCACAAGGCTTCCCTAAACATACACTGAAGATTCCTCCAGGGGCAGCTCTGGCTCTGAATTACAGTTACTTATGCACTGGTTCACAATGCAGTACTGGCACTGTTCTCTCACTGACTGTTCATACGTCCATGTTGAAGGTTCTTGAAATATTAATGTTATTTTCACTTTTATAGAATCATAGAATCTCAGAACGGTTTAGGTTGGAAGGGACCTTAATGTTCATCTTGTTCCACCCCCTGCCATGGGCAGGGACACCTTCCACTATCCCAGGGTGCTCCAAGCCCCGTCCAACCTGGCCTTGAACACTTCCAGGGATGGGGCAGCCACAGCTTCTGTGGGCAAGCAGTGCCAGGGCCTCTCCACCCTCCCAGCCAAGAATTTCTTCCCCGTATCTCTAACCTGAATTTCATCTTTTTCAGTTTGAACCTGTTACTCCTTGTTCTATCACCACAGTTCCTGATGAAAAGTGCCTCTCTGAAGACTCTTCTGAGGAACAGCAGGATTACTTCCTTTCATGTTCAACATAACAGTGTAGTATGAGCAACAGCCACCTCAGAAAGGCCTCACCCAGTCCACGGTACCATCGGTAACACCGTCAGTCCCTTCACGTTCCTCTCTTACCCAAAGCAAAATTATGCTTGTAGTGACCACTGTAATTCCTAGGTGGGCTGTTACAAAGCACCAGGGCTGGCCACAGGGTGCCTTCGCTCTGGGCCCAGGGGCTGCAAGTATCCAGAGTGAGATCACTGAAAGCACCACCATCTCCCAAAACGACTGATACGTGGACTACTTACCCGTCCTCACCAAAATCCCACGCATGCCCGCGTCCTGGGCACCACCAACATCATCCCTGCAGTCCTGGGGCAGAACAGAGAGCAACTGGTTGGTGGGCATGGACACTTCCAGAACAATTTCTGCTTTGCACATCACTTAAAAGCAGCGACATGGAATTGAAATCTTTTAGCTGCGTGTCAGTGGAACTGTCACAGGAGTGGTTTGCTGAGTGCTTTTTGCCCCATCAAACAGTGACTGAAGTAAGAGAACCCACCCCAGGTATTACCCATTAAGTCCTGTAAGTTTTCCTGGAAATGTTTAGGCTGGGAATGACCTCAAAGATTGTCAAGTCTAACCATTCCCCCAGCACTGCCAAGGCCACCACTAACCCCAAGTACCACATCCACACAGCTTTTAAATCCATCCAGGGATGGGACTCCACCACTGCCCTGGACAGCTGTGCCAGGGATGGACAACCCTTTCCATGAGGAAATTTTCTCAAATATCCAATCTAAAGCTCCCCTGGCACAACTTTAGGCTGTTTCCTCTTCTCCTGTCCCTTGTTCCCTGGCAGCAGAGCCCAACCCCTCCCCGAGCTCCCCCCTCCTGTCAGGGAGTTGCAGAGCCAGAAGGTCCCCCCTGAGCCTCCTTTTCTCCAGGATGAGCCCCCCCAGCTCCCTCAGCCCCTCCTGCTGCTCCAGACCCTTCCCCAGCTCCGTTCCCTTCTCTGGACACACAAAGGGGTGATTCCAAAGGGTGGAACCATCCCTTTGCAAGCAGTGTGCACAGTGCAGATGAGCACTGTGTCAGTGAGCAGGTGATGAGGGTGTTGGTCCTCACGTACATCTCCGATCATGACGGCCTCCTCTGGGGCACAGCCAGTCCCCCTCAGGGCTTCCAGGAAGAAGGTTTTCTCTGGCTTCCCCACCACCATCGCTTTGGTGTCCGTCGCGTATTCCAGCCCTGTCACAAAAGGCCCAGGTCCCAGAGACAACCCATCTTTCTTCTTGAAATACCTGGCTTTATGGATTGCTATAAGAGGAGCTCCGTCCAAAATCAACCTAAAGAATGAATGAAGAAGAAAGCACAAAATATTAAAGAAGTTATATTTACAGCTGAAGGCCTCAATGGCTTTCACAGACAGGTTCGGGTGGGAAGGGACCTTAAAGCCCATCCAGTTCCACCCCTTGCCATGGGCAGGGACACCTTCCACTAGAACAGGTTGCTCCAAGCCCCATCCAGCCCGGCCTTGGACACTTCCAGGGATCCAGAGCCAGCCACAGCTTCTCTGGGCAACCTGTGCCAGGGCCTCGCCACCCTCACAGGGAAGAATTTCTTACAGGTACAGGACAAATCACTTGACCTTAACTTTGTATTGTAACATGAAAGGAATTACAGTAACAAGTTACATAACCCAGAAAGCTATTTGCTGCATTCATGTCCCACTGAATTCCCCAGTTAACAGTGCTATTACTGAGCCTGTCAGGAACAAAGCTGGATTAGAGCTCCTTCCTTTTCCTCACATCAGACACAGCAGCTCCCTGTCCTGCAGGGAAGGGCAGCCTGTGTAGCTGCTGCACTGCAGGAACCTTCCTGGACCACCAAGCACAGCCATGTTACTGCAGTTCTCCCCCCTCCCCATGTTTCAGTGCAACAAGAGCCCTCCAGACAGCATCTGTAAAAGCTGATACATAATGAGTGCC